GAACAGCTGGAGAAAAGTGTCAGGAGTGATCTGTGATAGAAGAGTGTCTGCTAAGGTGAAGGGAAAGGATTACAGGATGGTGGTGAGACCAGCCATGATGTATGGTTCAGAGACAAGAGCAATAGAGACATATGGATGCAGTGAAGGAGGACATACAGATAGTTGGAGTCAGAGTAGAAGATACAGAGAACAGGGCAATGTGGAAATCAATGATTTGCTGTGGCAACCCCTGAAAAAAAAGGGACAAAGCCGAAAGGAAAAGAAGAAGAAGTAAAGTGAATATCTAAAAAATAATATTGCAAAGGAGGCCATCATTTTTCCTCTCATTTTTGCTGTCGCCCATTTGATCTGCTCAGAGCAGCAATAGCAGCCCCCGTGTCCCCACCCCTCCCCACACACAAAATCTATGGTAGCATAAAATGGATAAGGTGCGTAAAACAGTTATGAATATCTAAAAAATAATATTGCAAAGGAGGCCATCATTTTTCCTCTCATTTTTGCTGTCGCCCATTTGATCTGCTCAGAGCCCCATGAAGATTCCCTACATTCATTCCCTGTTCTTGCCCTAAACTTGTACAAACATCTTCCCTTGCCAGGCCAAAAAGTAGGAATGTACAGCAGTTGCTCCCAGCTCTGTGAAAAATATGTTTGTTTAAATCATACCATCAGCTGTGGCTGCAGGTAAAGCTGTTAATATGACCCTGAAGAGGATCAGCTCTTAATGAGTTTTCATCAAGCATCAGCAAAACAAAGGATTAGAATAAGTTCAGTGTGTGTTTAGACCGTGAGGATCCTGCCTCTTCTAATACTGTATGTCCCATCTTGTACATTTACCATTTACCTTGCACTAAATGCTTTTTTACCTTCATGAAAAACTGTGCAGTATGAGCCAAAAAAATGGTTCTCAGGAGACAGAAAATGTGGGTCAGTGAGAAACTGGTCAAGGACTGGCATAAACAGAGGTAACTCTCGTGTACGGCTTTAGTGCAGTTACATCTCCTAACGATGAATCTAGATGATTCTGCAGGAAGGACCTTTTTGGTGATATAAATGTATGAACAGTTTGAATAGTTACATAGTAAAAATACAATTACTACAGTTAACCGTAGATATCTGTATATCAGCACTGGCTCTCCGCCGGGCTGTGTCTCTTCGCAAGTTCGCAGATGATACTACCCTCATCGGACTCATCTCTGATGGGGATGAGGCAGCTTACAGATGGGAGATGATAGTAGACTTCATGAGCCCACCTCCATCCACCCCCATCACCTTGGGTTATTGCCCCTGTGGAGCACGTCCTCTTCCTGGGAACCTTCATCACTTGCATTGGAACCTTCAGTACAGGTTGTGGTTCTACCAGACCAAAACGTCACAAAACAGCCCCTCTCGACCCCCTCCCCCCAAAAATTTTGATAATGTAATATAATAATAAGAAAGAAAGACAATTTTAAAAAACATTTTATATTACTCTTGGGTAAAATAACCAAGCGAAAACAGCGAATTCGGTTCAGTACTCGTAACTCGATATTTTCTTGTGTCACGTGGAAAAAGTTGCTTACCCGTAATTTTGAAAATTTAGGGAGCTTGTATCTCGAGGCCCCACTGTATATTGGAATAGTGATAAAAACTAAAAAACAAACTGTAAACATGTAAATAACTACGGCTTTTTAAAGGTCACAGTGGTAACGTGCAAAGACAAAACTGTCCAATGCTGAGAGAAAGAAAGAGCAATGCTGCACTTCCTGAAGTTTTTTGCAGGTGCAAAGGGGAAAGGGTGATAAGGGTGTCCAGGGTCCATGTCAGGTTCAGCGTGTGCAGAGAGTTCAGCTTCTTGTCAGCCAAATGGAGGGAGCTGCAGACGTCTTCCTGATGGCAGCAGAAGCTGAAGAAGAACTGAAGAAGCTCTGAGATGGGAGGGGTTAGATCACCTGCAAAACAGAGTGTTGTTGGGTGTTGATAGATAGATAGATAGATAGATAGATAGATAGATAGATAGATAGATAGATAGATAGATAGATAGATAGATAGATAGATAGATAGATAGATAGAATAAGGGTAAACCTGAACAATGAATATTAGTAGATTACTAGGTTAGTAGATTAGACTAATAGTAGTAGTAGTAGTAGTGGTAGTAGAAGTACTAGTAGTAGTTTAGATTTAGATAATTATTGTTGTTGTGTTGTTATTAGAAGTTTCTTGCACGAGTATAAGAATATTGCATATATAGTATACTGGTATACCATCAGTTTGAATAGTTAAATAAATAGTTAGATATATAAGCAGTTCCAGGCAGATACAATAGTGTATGAGGTGTATTACAACCACATTTATACAACCAGTATTCCTAGAAATGACTGTAAATAATATTAGATAGTCCGATCTAGTCTAATCATTTATGAGAGATTTGAAATTGAAATCACAGGGTAGCTCTAAAGATAAGCTCAGTATCTGCAAAACATTGATTTACCTTAAGTACGAAGACATAGTGTACCGCAAATGTAGTAAATGAAATGCATTATTAAATATGAGATGTATCGTGTATGTATGTTTTGAATAAAAGTATGGGAACACATTGAAAATTCAATAATTGTATCACCCTTGGAATAATAACTGATCAATAACACTTTATTTTGACGAGGTCTGTGTGTACGTGAGTTGGCTGGTATTTAAATACCACACCCTTTTATGTCCAGTTCACCACAGACTTGTTGCTGCTGCTGCTGCTGTTGCCGCTGCTTTTGCCTTCTGCCTTCTGCCTCCTGCCCTTCGACTGATATTCTTTCCTAAAAGGTACGTTTTTATTCATGGGACGGAACAGAACATTTGTTGCCAGTGACTGCAAACGAAATCTGTAAAACAAGTAATTGTTAGTCAGTCTGTGAAAAGATCAAGTGACCAAATTTTTGAAGACTGGTTCATGTTGTTGATTGGCAAAAAAAAAAAACTGCTTGGAAACAAACTGTTTTACTTCTACTACTACTATTACTACCATTACCACTACTATTACCACGACTACTGAAATTGTGTAGTATTAGTGACTAATATAATCCTAATACACATTAAATAAAATGTGTTTATTAATAGAAAGCCACCACTACTGTTATAGTGTACTACTAATGCACTGTACTTTTTTTTCTCTACAGAAAATGTCTAAGCTTACAAGCTTATGTTTTTATAGTGTGGTGTGTTTTATATGTATTTATTTTATTTTATTTTATTTTTTATTCTACTTTATTAAGACCTGTGTATGATTCGCTAAACGTAAAGCAAAGCTTGAAAATATGTGACCTATCACAGCCCTAGTCGCTTCCAGCAGCTGTCAACAGGAAGTACAGTACAATAGGACACAGAAGCTCGATTACAAGATAGAATCAGTGAATCAAAAGGTATTGTCCTTCGTGAAGCTCAAGGCTGAAGACAATATTAACTCTGTCAGCTTGCCATGGTTTTAGGAAGAGTGTTACTAAGTATTAAATCAACAGAGGCTGTGTGTCTATCATCGTAAAATGAATGAACAGAGCTAAGCTCGTATGGTACAACCGATTCCACACTGACGTACTAGTAATAAAGAACCAACCTAACGTGTGAAACGATAAGAAGCAGTTAACACCATCTATTGGGGAAACGTGGGTATTGCAGGGGAAAAGGCAGAAGTATAATGACAATATAAATGATATATTGTCTGTCTTAGATCTTACAAATGTAGGAGCAGCTGTGACACTGCCCTTGTCCTATGTCTCCAGATCTGTTTGTACCACATGTTGCTAGGTTTCGTACAGTTATCTTGCACTAACGTCATGTCTTAAGATCAAGGGTTAACTTATTGTGATAACTTTAAATACCTATAGGGGTAATAGTTGACTTATTACCCACCTTGACAGTGATTAGGTGTGTGTGTGGAAATATTTGCTTTTCATCCCACCCTCCTTATCAGTGAGCCTTCTGGAATTCCCTACTGACAAATACAACACACCTAGTTTTTATAACCTTGAGGATATAAAATACTCTTGACAAAAAAAAAAAAAAAAAAACTTTAAAAGAGTTACACCTATAAATGCTTTTTTTTTAAATTAAAAAATTAAACTTTAAAATCAAATAGAGATGCTGCTTAAATTATTTTTGAATGAACCCAAACAACAAAAGAAAATCTCATTTGTCATTTTTATTAAATGGTGATTTTTTTAAATTTATTTAATATATTCACAAATTGGTGCAAACTCCCAACTTATTTATAATAACTATAGGTTACTTTTATAACCTTGAGGATATAAAATACTGTCTTGACAAAATAATAAAAAACTTTAAAAGAGTCACACCTGTAACTTCTTTTTTAATATTAAAATATAACTTTTTTTTTAAATCAAACAGCGATCAGCTTAAATTATTTTGAATCAACCCAAACAACAAAATAAAATCTCATTTGTCATTTTTATTTAATGCTGATTTTTTAAAATTATTTATATATATATATTCACAAATTGGTGCAAACTCCCAACTTATTTATAATTACTATATTCTACAATATCCTTAAACTCCAATATTTGGATTGAGGAGCTGACTGATTACTGCCACCTGAGTGTGCATTAGTGTTACTGGTGTTCCAATAATAATAATAACTCTATGAGTACAAAGTTACAAATGAAATGCATTTGTTTGAAGGCACTATTATCTTCCTAATCAAAGTGTTATGTTAAATGTTAAATCCCCAGCTCAAACAACAATATTTCACATGGTTAAAGTTTGATTTAGTTTCAAAATATGACACAACAAAACTTTCCTTGAACTGACTTTTCTTGATTTACTTACAACATTTTGAAGACTAGGATGCATTGTCTTTATTATTGTAGTGTTGTTTTTTTTTTTAAATGTAATTTATTAAACACCTAAGCTATTGCTACATTCTGGCTAACATCATCTTTCATGCTTATAATAACTTATTATTATGATCATGTAACTTATAATCTATGAATGTGACATACTGTATGAGTAATAAAGGAATCATGGGGGTAGTGTCTGAGTTTCTCGGTCAGCTGACGCTGTCATATGGAGGGGTGAGTCACCGACAACTGACACACATAATCTCCTTTTTATCTCTTAAAGTATCCTACCTTGAGCGATCAATTACTTTAGGTTGACTGACACACATAATCTCCTTTTTATCTGCCATTCTGGCAGGAGGCTCTTAAAGTATCCTACCTTGAGTGATCAATTACTTTAGGTTAAAGAAAATTGTCACTAAAAACTGACTGATGTTTCATACTGTACTAAATATAGCAGTTGTATCACATCAACTGGACACACGTCATTGACAATAACAGCAACGTTAGGGAGGTCCAATCATATCGGCCAACCGATATTAACATGAGCGATTATGTAGTATCGGTAAGAATCGTTATCATTTTATGCTCCAGATGATTTGACTTAAAAATACTTTTGAAGTGAAAAGTGAATTATTGTCATTGTCATCCATCCCCTCCCTTGCTCGTGAACACGACCCCAACATACACTATATGACCAAAAGTATTGGCTCACCTGCCTTGACTCTGAAGTGCCATCCCATTCGGTCCACCTTTTTGCAGCTATTACAGCTTCAACTCTGCTGGGAAGACTGTCCACAAGGTTGGGAGCATGGAATTGTCCAAAATGTTTTGGTAGTTCCTTTCACTGGAACTAAGGAGCCAAGCCCAGCTCCTGAAAAACAACCCCACACCATAATTCCTCCTCCACCAAATTTCACAGTCGGCACAATGCAGTCTGAAATGTACCGTTCTCCTGGCAACCTCCAAACCCAGACTCGTCCATCAGATTGCCAGATGGAAAAGCGTGATTCATCACTCCAGAGAACGCGTCTCCACTGCTCTAGAGGCCAGTGGCGGCGTGCTTTACACCATTGCATCCGACGCTTTGCATTGCACTTGGTGATGTGTGGCTTGGCTGCAGCTGCTCGGCCATGGAAACCCATTCCATGAAGCTCTCTGCGTACTGTACTTGGGCTAATCTGAAGGTCACATGAAGTTTGTAGCTCTGTAGCAATTGACTGTGCAGAAAGTCGGCGACCTCTTTGCACTTTATACACCTGTGGCCAGGCCAAGGGATTAGGACACCTGATTCTGATCATTTGAATGGGTGAGCGAATAC